AAGACATGCAAGTATGAACCAGTGACTTGTTTTCATTAATGTACTCCTCATTGTGTTTGCAAAGGCATCTGAATATCCCATTGCATTATTACTGAAATAATGCTGGTAATACTAGCAGTGTAAGAATTGCAATTTAATTACACATTTTTATTACTGACAGTAGCTAGCATGAGATACTTTGGGTGAAATTTTAAGAAACTCCAGAATGACCAATTAAGTAAGTTTTAAAATAGGATTATTGTTGTAACTACGGTGATGGGAAAGAAACAGATACAGCTGGGGACAGCAAGGTGAACTTTCCGTAAGTTATTAAAATGATCTCTTGTTGACAGAGACTGTTAATAGTGGTATTCCCATCCGCCACATCAACCACTTTTTTTCTGCTGCTTGTGGACAAAGCGCTTGAAAAATTGCTGCAGACAGGGGATAAAGAAATGCTGAGATACGATCTATCATATTTTTTGCAACATTTCTGAAAATGATTGTCATTCTATGGTGGAAATTAAACTCTTTCAAGTCTAGATAATGAGAATAGGGTCAGAAGGGACCCGCTGTTGACAGTGATTGCCAGCAGAAGATCTTTTTCATGGAACGGATTACATGAGAAGCCAGGACAAACCTGGAAAGCTTGATGGGACTGACAGTGCTGATGGGGCACATCTGTTGCAGACACTGCTACATACACATTTCAGAGGTTATGGGGGAACTTAGTATCGCGTGCTGTGTTCACATTGACAGTTACAGTGGTTTGTTTTTTTTTTTTAAATTACTATTTCATCTTTTGGGTTTATTGAGCATTTGTGAAAAAGGTCATTGCAAATGGAAGAAGAGAAGCTTTAAATGTTTATCTTAGCATCTGTATCTTCTAATAGTTCAGCTTCCTTTTATTCCAAAAGGTTTATTTTTTTTTTTTTAGACCTGAGGAATGTGTTGTTGGTTTTTTTTTTAGACCTGGGGAATGTGTTGGCAAGTTCAAACTAGCTCATTTTCAACCAGCACACAGCATTTCAGTCAGCAGAAAAGTGTTTATAAGGTGTGTGATAATGAATTTGACTCAATATTAGCAAGTATTAGGAGAACTTTTAAACCCCGCTGAATTTCCTTCTTTGAGCTAGCAGATTGAAAAATATTCTTGTTATACAGTGGAGACGTGGTCTTTAGTGGTGTGAACAGTCCTTTGTATCTGATTAATAGATAGCCAATTTACATCTGTTCAGAGGCTTCAATACTGATCACTTTAAAGCACTGAAGTAGTGGCACTTGCCAAAATCTGTAGACCCTCCTGTCCTATTCATCCCTCTGTTTATCAGTGAGGAGAGGCTCATGCCAAAGATACAGGTTTTTTGTCCACTGTTTAAAGCTTGCGCTTGAAAACCTGTTGTTGCTGCTCAATATACAGACTAATTTTGCATATGGATAATCTCTTGGGGAATTAGTCTGGACTGGAGTCCCGTGCTGGAGGGCTTTGGTTTTGCAACAGCTCTTGCGGGTTTCTTCTTCTCCTTGGCCTGTTTGCTGCCAAGGTGGGTGCGAGGGTGAGAGACAGAAGGCAGCGGATCACACCATGCAGGAGTGTGTAGGGTAACATGGGAAACCCACACAAACCAGCAGGCGTGCGCGTGTGTTTGTGTGTCTGCTTGAGCCAGGCTGAGCATCCGCATGGCCCGTTTGCCAAGGGCTTCCATGAGTCGCAGCAGGGCTGCCCGACACCTGCGGGTCCTGCAGGAGGGCCAGGTTTTTCTCATGGTTGAATCATCCGAGTGGCAAACCGGAACAGCTGTAGCAGGTGATGCCAGTAAGGGGGAACTAAACTTTTCTTGTCTTTTCTTCCCCTTTCTGGGAACTGGTCTCTGCTTGGTCTCAGTTCCAGAGCCAAAAACGTTGTGCCCCAGACACTTGTGTGCAACCTCCAGCAGTTTTGCTTAAACTCGTTTTCTGCGGTGTTTCACTGAACTGCGGGAGTTCGCACAGGAACAGCTAAACGGGAGGCACGTCCCACGGGCAGCTCTGCTTTGGTGCAGCAGTGGCAGCATGGTGACGAGCAGGCTGGCAGGGGGAAGCTTCTGCAGCGAGGCCCGTCGGCAGCACGCGACTGTGCTCCCCGTGCTCCTGCCTGGGCCTTGGGTCGCGGCTTGAGGAAGGTTCCAGCTCGGCCCCCCACAATGCAGGCGTTTTAAGTGACAGGGGCTTTATGAGCCCGCAGCCCCAAGGTACCCAGCATCGTTGGATTTATCAGAACGAGATTTTGGTCACTCAGCCGCCCTCGGTGCAACCCGCCCTCGCCCTCGGGTGGCCGAGCCCTGCCCTGCACGCGAGGATGCGGTAAACAAACAGCCCTGCTTAAACGCAGGACGTAAAGGGAGGGCGGGACCTGCCCGCACCCGCCTGCGGCTCCGCGTCCGCTTGTCCCTTCGCGCGACCCGTAGCGAGCGCTCGGTGGGCCCCGCCCGGCGCTGTCGGTATATAAGGGGGAACGTTGCACAGCCGCCTGACTTCGCACAGGCGCTGCGGCAGGAGGGAGGCAAGATAGCGGCCCC